CTCTGGCTCCTACAATCCTTCCTTCCTCTCTTCTACAAGAGGCCAGTGAGGTGACTCAACAAGTAAGGTATATGCCACCAAGCCTGGGGACTTGAGTCTGATTCCAAGGGTCCACACTGTAGAATAAGAGAACTGACTACTGCAAATTATCCTATGACCACAAAATGTGTGCCATGGAATGTGCGTCCCTTAAAAGAAAGAAGTCATTTGCTTTAATATTAACCACATTAAAATATTCCTTATTACTTATAGTCATATTTTGATATCAGCATTTCAAGTGTACTGATGTTTCCTGTTATAGATTCATTTTCTGTGTCCTTCATTCTTTTTTTAAAATATTTTAATTTTCTATTTTCCCCTAAGAATAATGTTCTACTTTGCTCACTGTTGCTCTGACAAAATATTAAACAAAATCGAACTGGGAAAGTTTATTTTTGCTTATAGGTTATAGTCCATCATAATTGAGTAGGTCTGGGGGGAGGGAGTTAAGATGAGCAGTGGGAGTGAATATGATCACAATACATTGTATGAAATTCTCAAAGAACCAATAAACTATTTTAAAAAACAAACAAAATCACCTGTAGGCAAGAAGATAGCTGAGAAATGTAGACCCAGCAACCTAGTTATACAGGTCCAGAGAGGGGAAGCAGAAGGTTATTCCTAAAGGGGATCCCAGTAATCCTGGTGAAAGCACTCTAAGTCCTACTCACAGGATGAGTCCTTACAGATCATGACTCAAGTTAGGGGGCTCAGATAAGACAGTGAACCCTTCTCTGTGGAGGGACAGCAGTGAAGAAGTAATTCATTTCTTTTATTCCCCAAATTTCTGAAGGCTATGACTGGCTGCCATCTTGAGATGGACTCTATTATAAACTGAAATATTCTAGGCAACTGATAAGTAATAATTACAATCCAGGAATCCTGGAACTCACTTGCCATAGCTCAAGGTTGAGAGGCAAGACAGTTATGGAGAGGGGAGGGCTGGACAATGGCATGTGCAGAGCTCACACTACATGAGACTCAACTTGAGTAGCAAAAAAGGTACAAAGAACAGTAATCTGCCCCATAGTGTCAGGAAGGCAACATCATCTGAGTGTAACTGTGAGCACAATACCCCAGGTCTCCTACAGTCACCTCTCTGCTGTTAGGTTTTCATTTTTAGTTTACCTATTTGGTTTCCTTATGACTTTAAAAAAAAAAAATCATTAGTTTTGGTTGATCTTACCCCATCTCCTTCTCTCCCCCATCCTCCGCCTTCTTGAAAAGCACCAGTTGGATATTGTTTACATAATCCAATTTGCATCTCTGGGTTGGAGATTTAAGATCATTTGCATTTAGCATTATTGAGAAAGATAAGCTGGCTCATGTAAATCTTTTTCTGCTTAATTCAAACACTGTGTTCCTTTCTCACTTAAGCATTGTAGGAGTCTGCTGGTTTGCTGGGTTTAACGTGTTTCTTTCCTAAATTCCATCCATTCATCTATTCATGAAATTTCTTTCCTGAATCATGCCTGTGACCCTTTGTTTTTTTCTTAGTGTGTAGGACTCCTTCCAGTGTTTTCTGCAATGCTTGTGTTCATGAATTGCTTTAGTATGTGCTTATCTTGGGAGGTCTTTATTTCTTCATTGATTAACAAAGATAACTTTGCTGGATATTATTTGGGCGATTTTGGTTAGTAGATATTTACTCTGAGGACTTGAAATGTCATTCCAGGAGTGTCCTCCTTTGGGGGTTTCTGCTGTGGTCACCTTTGGAAACCGGTGCTTCTCTTTTACAGGTTGCAGGGCTCTTTTCTAAACCAGCATTTTAACTCTGTGACCTGGAGTCCCTTTTTGTCATTTCTATTTCAGTTCTAAATGTCTTCTATATTTAAATGTTCACTCTTTTCCCTGTATTTCAGGAATTTGCTTCTATAATATCATAAAAATAGGTCTTCCATTTCAGTTTATATTTCAACTCATTTTACCCACTGACTCTTAGGTATCATGTCTTAATCATGTCCCAGGATTCTTGAGTTGTATTCATGGTTGCTGTTTTTGTTTGTTTCTTGCCCTTTATTACTAAATGAACGTGTTTAATATTCATTCTTTACTTGGTCTAGTCTATTGGTAATATTTTTGACTGAAACTTTTAGAGTTTCTTTTTTACATTTATTGGGGGGGGGTATGGAGGGGTAAGTGTATACACACATGCATGCCAGAGCATAGGTGTATAGTTCAGAGTAAAGTTCCCCCTCTACAAGTGACAAGTGCCTTTATCTGCTGAGCCATCTCACCTGCCCTCTGCTGAAAGTTCTAGTTGATCTTTACAAATTATATTTGGTTATTATTGTTGCTGCTTTTTATTTATTTACATTTACCTTTTAGAATTTCTGTATCTTTGCTGGCTTTTTCATCCATGTTTTGCATTAACTTCCTTTCTTCATTTATTAGAATCCTCTTTTAGATACTGCTCATTTTTTTTAAATGAGCCTGAATAATTTCATTACCTTTTGACTGGTAATTTAAAAATTATAGACTTTAAGATAAGCCACATATTCCTTGTGTAACTTATAAATAAATACATGGACTTTTATACAGGTGTTTTCTTAGTGGGCAGACTTCTCTTGGCATCTCAATCCCCACTACAAATTAGAGGCAGAAAATACAGACAGCATGAACACCAACAGTTTAAAAATAAAATAGATATTCAATTGCAGAATAGAAAAATGGAGCAGGGAGATTGGGGCACAAGGATGATAGAAGAGAAAGGGACAGGGTAAGAATGACCAAAACTAATGATAGTGGAAAGGAATCCATATAACAGAAAAGCTAATAAAACTAATGATAGTGAAAAGGAATCCATATAATAGAAAAGCTAATTAAAAATTAAACCAAAAGCCAAGCAGTGGTTGTGCATGCCTTTGATCCCAGCACTCGGGAGGCAGAGGCAGGCGGATCTACAGTTCTAGGACAGGCTCCAAAGCCACAGAGAAACCCTGTCTCAAAAAAACAAACAAACAAACAAACAAAAAAAGAAACAAATTAAAACAAAACAACAAGTCTGTGGCTGGAGTCTGCTGTTTTCCTAAGTGGACATGCTATGACAATCATGTGACCTTCCTGTTCCTGTGTCCAGATTAGTGGTGATGTTATCTTGATCAAAGGAGCTTCCTTTTCAAATAGGCGACAGTGACTGCAGAGACTCAAAGTGCTGATGATAAGTGATGATTTAATCCTCAGCCTCAAATGCAACATCTATAACAGTTACTCCAAGGATAAGGAAACATTGCAAACTATGGGACTAAAAGAATTATGAGCCAGACGAAGAAGAGGCACAGTGTAGAATGCTGAATTCTAGGTCAGACATAGAAATTCTCATCCAACTACAAGGCCAACCCAAGTAATAAGGTTAAATATAGTCTCTTTGCTTGAACTGAAAAGTTAGAATGCTTTTTAATGTCCAAGGCCTGTATCACCTTAAAAGAAGAGTAATCTGGTGTGTGTGTGTGGGGGGGGGTTAATTTGCAAATAAAGATCACAAAAATCAATGCTGGGTGTGTTCCTCAATCATGCTCTGTGTTTATCTTTTTTTTTTTTTTTTTAAAGAGTCTCATAGGACCCAAAGCATGCCAGCTGTATTAGTCCGAAAGCCACAGGATCATCCTGGCTCCTCTTCCCCTCACCAGTGCTGGCATTAGTGGTATAGAGCATCATGATCAAGCTCACCTATTCTCTTTTCCTCATGTTTTATCCGTTCTTTAAGAACTTTATACAATGTGTTTTCATCATGTTAACCCCCTCTCTCAACTCCTCTAAGATCTACCCTTCTTTGTTACCCATTTAGCAGTCTATCATTTAAAAAAAAAAAAATCTGAGTCCAATTTATACTGCCCATACACTCTTGGTTGGTTGATCTGTAAGGAGCCACACAAAGAAATTTTTTCAAAGATCTTGGGCAACCCCTGTGAAAGTGTCCTTCAATGTTCCTCAAAGAGGTCATGACCTACAGGTTGAAAACAGCTTCCCTAGATATACCAGTTTCCCTTCTCCCCAGCTCAGATGCAGGGAATCTCCCTCTTCTCAGGGTCATGCTGCATCTCCTAATATAATCACTTTCTACTTTCCTCAAAACATGGCCAGCAAATGGCACTGTGATAATGGTTCATGAACCAATGTCCAAGTTATAGCCATTTTCCTGAAGTTACAGTGGTTCCCAAAGTGATCACTCACTCAGCCAGGAGGCCTTTGGTGCTTGAAGAATGCAGAGGTTTCTTCTCTCCTTGGTCAAAAGGTTTGACCACAGACTTCTAAGATGATCCCACAGTACCAGAGTACAAACCAAGAAGGAGGTGGGGATCTTCTCCCCATTTGCTTGCTGTGTATATGGAAACTGTACATTTCAGAGATGTCATTTCAAACTACATGTTTGAAAAATGCCACATATGTGTCTGTGGTATTCAGTACAGCATTCCCTTGTTTTTATTTAAAGCTCTACTAGTATACTACCATAGGGTCCAATTTCTTCTACAAATCTAAGCTTCTGTATTTCTGGATTTGCCTCATCTTTGCCACTGCTGCACTCCTGACTTTCCATTCCATTCGCCTCTCCCTGTAGCCAAGCACCTGATGGTGATGTGACAAAGCGCCAAGTGTCTCAAATGTGCCATCTTCCTTCTATCTAGATACCCTTCTTTAAATACACACACACACACACACACACACACACACACACACACACACACAGCCAAAGTAATAAATTTTAAACATTTAAGTAGTCAATATATTTAAAACATAAAAATTATTCTAAATGGTAAACACAAATTGAAGTTTGGAAATATAAATGGCATCGTTTGTTTGATTTTTCTTAAAGAGCAATCATAATACTCAAAGAACTTTGTGAAATTTAACTCCAACATTAAAAAAAAAATACTGAAAGATGATTTAACTCATTCATTAAGAAATCATTTTTCATTATACTATTTTTCATTATTATATAAATAATAATTTGATACTAGACATTTAGATTATAAAAGTCCAACTTATTTTTCAATGTAAATATAAATCAGCAATTGAAGTCACAAATCTAAATTTTAATATTTTAAAATATTTTTACATAATTTGCCACATATTTGTTAGCATTCTACCTGGGATCAGCCAAGCTACTAATGAGTATCTAATCTGAGCCAATAAACACATGAGCATGAAAAACATCAGAAACCAGTGTATGCTTGTGTCATACACAGTATTTATCAAAATCACCACTAAACTGCACGCTTGGTTTTTCTTCCATTTAACACTGGATTCAGGAAACTGTAGTAATTAAGAATAAAGGTCAAAATGAAACACCCTGATTTTGCCAAAGTGTTTACTTAACTGTAAATCGGATATAAATATAGAGTATACAAATTTCTCTTGTTCTATACAAAATCTCAACAAGTATTCTCCTAATAGTGTGAGGATATCTGATCTTACACATTGAAAGCTTTTGCTCTTAAAAAAAGATTTAAGTAGAGCTACTTACAGAAATATGGACTCAAAATGGTAACTGTATTATAGACTCATTTCCATATGGAAATGTCATCAAAAACCTCTTACCACAACCAGTAAACTTGTTAAATCAACACTGAAAACTAAAACTTCGGCAAAGCAACTCCTAATGAGAATGTAGGCTATTTCAAAATTAAGACTCCAGACAATTACAGGTGTAAATCACATTCACTGAGTCCAACTTCAACCATAAACAGTAAAGTTTCCCTGTTCCTTTATACTGTTTAATAAAACAAGTAATCCTCTTTTGCCACTTATTCACAGTAAGGCTGAAACTAATGCAGGGTACATCCCATCACTGGTCTATATATACGTAAGTATCCACAAACACTGATGGAAACAACAGTTCCCAGGCATAATTTTCTCCATTTTATAGACAACAACTCTTTACTCTAGACCAACAACTGATTAAATTTTTAATATATCTAAAAAAAGTGTATTAAAAGCACATATTGAAAAAGAAATAGAATATCTGGATGATGGTAGCACACACCTTTAATCCCAGCACTCAGAAGGCAGAGGAAGGTAGATCTCTGAGTTCAAGGCAAGCCTGGTCTACAGGTTACACAGAGAAACCTTGTCTCAAAAAAAATAAAAAACAAAACAAAAGACAAATACACTGTGATCTTTTCACAGAGTGGGTGGAAGTATGCTGTCTGATGCTGTTTAGCAGACCACCACTCTCTGCACAAGTACCTGCCAGCATTCCTTCTTTGGAGTCAACGCCCTCAAGCCTAAACTCCAGGAAAGTTTGCAAAGTCTTGTCAGCTAAAGACAAGTGAACCAGCATTACAGGGACAGCTGTACTAAATTTTAACACTGTTTATTAACAGTTCCATCTTCCTCAGTTTGCGTTTGTTCTTTGGCATTGGCTTGGGATATAATCCATTTTTCAGAAGATATTCCTTGCTGAAGCGAATCTGAGCACCATGCTGAAGCTGGAAAGAACATAGAGCTTGAAGAGGGCGAAGCAAAGTCTGTTAAGAAAAAAAAAAAAAAAATACTACAAATGTTTTTGTGGCAATTTGTATTCCATCTATATTTTTCTTTCAAATACAGATACTTATGTGTCATTTTTTTTATTTCTGCTTTTGACCGTGAAGAGTAATGACTATTCTAACACTTCATAATTATTTCTAAATCCACAGATCCTAATAAAAGGATTTATATTGATTTTCCATATAGGAAATAAGGAGTCTGAGTTAAGTTTTATACACTAATGTATTTAGATAACATGAAAATTTGTCATTACAACAATTTAGCCAGTTAATGAGATGATTAAAGGAAACAGGCACATCACATTAGTTGAATTTCAATCACAATTAATGTACCTCATTGACACAAACAATTCCGTGATGACAGCAAAGTCTTCCTCACAGTAAGTAGCCCATGTAAGACACAGAGGTGACTGAGTCACATGTGGTACATTTGAAATACTGTAATTTTATACCCTGCCTAAAATAAATTTCTGCAGAGCCAAGCACAGAACACTCATATATTAACTGGATTTACATGTAAGTTAATAGACATGGTGAAGGCTGTCAGACAACCAGAATACATGCTCTATTATAAGGTTATTCAAGATCAAAAGCTACAAGAAATTTAAATAGTATTTAAATACATTTTGGGGGTTAGATTCTTTGTACCGAAGGCTTCTTATCAAAACAATTTAAGTAACAATAGCAAAAGGTTGAAAAGGCCATTAAAGAATCATTTTTAAAAAGGAAAAAAAATTAAGCTAGGCAGTAGGGGCATATGCCTTTAATCCCAGCACTTGGGAGGCAAAATCAGAAGGATCTCTGAGTTTGAGGCATCTGCAGAGTGAGTGCCAGGACAGCCAGGGCTACACAGAGAAACCCTTTGTTGAGGGGAATAAAAAGAGAAAATTGATAGAAAAATTTCAAAGTATCTGTGTGAAAATATATTCTCCCACATATACAAAATACATAGTACATGTTTATATATAAAAATTTAATGGGACTTTACTTTACAATGAAGTATTAAATACTATGACAGCCTCTGATAATTACTTCTCCCTACCCATTATTTTATCCTTACTAATCAGGAGGCACAGGCAGGTGGACCTCTGTGAGTTCAAGGCCATCCAGATCTACAAAGCAAGTTCCAGGACAACCAGGGCTCATACATATAGAAGCCCTGTCTCAAAAAAAAAAAAAAAAAAAAAAAAAAAAAAAAAAATTTAACCACTGCCTTTGCTTTTAAATGTTGTCACAAGCAATTCCTTATTGATATAGACTAGTAAGAAAAAAAATTAGAATATTTTGGAAAACTATACACAACACTATTGTTGAAAGTCCATTACATATGTTTTCACTATGTAGAAAGTCCACTAGGAATGTTTTCATTATTTCTTTTAATAAGAAAGACAGGAAATGAGAGCTGGAGAGATGCCTCAGACGCTAAAGGCTAGGCTCATAACCAAAACTATAACAGAAAATGAAATAGAAAAAATGTATATATGTTACTTAAAAGTCAACCCAATGAAGAGATCGGATGACCAAACATCACAGGTCTCCAGGAAACACAGACAGGACTATATACAAATAGAAGTAACTTAAAAGTCTCTTCATGTTCTGAAATTTATTTTCATAGATAGAATAATGCTAATATTCCTTCGGCCAAATACCTCCAACTTTGACAACCCAAAGACAAAATTCCACAAAATTACTTGAATAATAGAAATCCCTAAACTACATCTCCACTTTATCTCTGTTGTGGTCACTAACAATGAAGTCATCTTTTGTCTTGGTAAATGATCAGTTTACATTTTTTATTCCTTTTGAAGTTAAACATAGTCACTGTCCTACTTAGTTTAATTGTCACCTTGACACAGCCTAGAGTCATCTTGAGAAATTGCCCAGATCAGACTGTCCTGACAGCATGTCTGTGATCGACTGTCTTGACTGTTAATTGACTAGAAGGGCCCAGTTCACTGTGGATGACACCATTCTTTAGGCACTGGTTAAGCTTGGATTGGATTTACCATATTTCTTGCTTCTTCTTTATGAAAGTGGAATACTTTTCCATAAACCTGGGTCCCTAAGCACCTGCATGAACCTTTAGAGGCCCTCCTGGCACTCTCACTGGACAAGTAGCACGCAGAGAGGCACAAAGCACTGACATCCTATACCATTTTCTGTAGTGAGATAGTTCTGTGGCACTGACCACGCCCATTGGGGGGTGGAGCCATGGGCGGAGGGACCTGTGGAAGGAGGTCGGAGGGGGCCAGGAAAGGTGCTCTCTTTCTGGTGTGACTGGGACAGGAGAGGATCGGGTTGAATTTCCTGGTGTTCATCTGTCTAGGTTGTAAGTTATTTCTCCCTGAATAAACATCTATTCGGCCTATTTGTTTATCCTGATCCTTATTTACCGCGATAATTTTCACTTATTGTAGCCTACCTTGATGGTACTATCATATGCCAGTTATGTGCTTCAAGTAGTAAATAAAATCTACCTAACAAAGTTATTATCATAACAAACAGTGAGGTGATACATTGGACCTCAACAATTACAGCACTGAAACCACTACCTGACATTTAATAAATGATAATGCTCTAATATAAAGAAAAGTATCAGATTTGAGTGACAGTACATAAGAAAATCTCACTTATAAAACAATGTTTCTAAGTGTTTACTTGAGGAAAATGAGTGTTGTATGAATCCTTTTGTCTGCATGTATGTATTCACAGTTTTCAAAATGCTATTCCTAGCAATCACTGAGGCTGGACAGAGCTAAGGTTTTTAAATTTACATGCAGCTAAGAGCTTTTTACACTTTGAAATTCTTTAAAGTACTGTTTCCCACATAAAGGAAGACCTTGAAGCAAAACTAAACCTGAAACTGGAGGTCCCTGGTAAATAATGCAGTAGGCTAATAAAACCCATCAAGTTGTAGTTTAAAACCTTTATTGATCTACCAAAATTGGAGAGGCATAGAAACTCAAAGGTGCTTGTTTGTGTTGATGATGGTAGCAATTAATACACCTCATTTATTTTACAATAGTAAGGTAATGGAGACAGAACACATTAGGCAAGTCCTCTCTCACTGAGCTACATACCCAGCCTAGGTAACCATTTTTACACAGGTTTAAAGGGAAAAACAAGTACAAAGAAAGATTATGCAACTGCCCCTGGCAAGCCATGCTGACAATAAAGCTGACAGTAAAGCTGCAATTCAAACTGACTTCAAAGCCTGCACTGTGCCCCTTCCAGAAGCCACACTCTCAGCCTCCCACATTCTGCTGCTTCCTGTGCTTGAAAGTTGATCCAGCATATAGGATGGAGATGACCCAAAAGACTGGAAATCTATTGTGGTAAATAAGGGTCAGGATAAACAAATAGGCCGAATAGATGTTTATTCAGGGAGAAATAACTTACAACCTAGACAGATGAACACCAGGAAATTCAACCCGATCCTCTCCTGTCCGAGTCACGCCAGAAAGAGAGCGCCTTCCTGGCCCCCTCCGACCTCCTTCCTCAGGTCACCTCCGCCCATCGCTCCACCCCCCCCAATGGGCGTGGTCAGTGCTACAGAAGGACTACCTCACTACAATTCCCCTTTTAGTCTAAAGAAAAGATTTAGGCTTAATACAAAACTATATACAAAACAGTGAATAACAAGTGTGTTCTAAGAAAAGGAAAATCGAGAACAAAATGACCTACATATCTAGTCCTAGGGTGAGGGCATAATGGAGTTTACAATAGAGTTGTCCTAAGCTGGAAAACGTAAGTCTAGTACCTAATATATCTAACTAGGAAGAGAGAATAATAGTTGTGATAGTTTAATCTTCAACCTCATCAAGACCTGAGAAGGAAAATAACAATACTAGAGTAGACAGGAAATGCGGATGGACAACTTCCAAAACGGTGCAGCAAGGACAGAAACAGCAAGCCACCTGAACAGTCACCCTAGGTCTCACAGCGACGTTGGTACACCCAGATTTGGCTAAGGCCAAGAGAACTTGACAGACCACAACAACAGCAGGGAAATAGAATGGCTGTCTTACCCTGACTTGGCAAGGTCAAGCAGTCTTCTATATTTGTCTCCTGCAAGCACATAGGACTGCATGTCCAAATCAGTGGTCAAGGTGGGGGCAATTCTATGCCCAACAGGCCATTAGCTGAGGCGAGATTGAACTCCAGCAGGAGCAACAACAGTGTCCAACATATTTTCGGGAAAATGTACGGTGCTGTCAGGAGCAACAGTGTCTCATGTCAAAGGAGTACTAATATTAAAACATTTAAATGCCATGTTCTGTATGTCTATGAAGGATTGAAGATTAAGCATCTATATCTGACTAATCTCATAGGTACAGGAAATGTGAGTGAAGATAATCTGTAATACTCGGGAACTTAGCTAAAAAGACTGATTAAAACTTTCCTGAGTAAAGCAGGAACAAATACTTAAACAATATAACTATTTACATATACCTACATGTAAATCCCTAAAATAGAGGTAGAGTATAAGTGTCAAGACAAGAGGTAGAACTATAAAGGGCAGCAAGATAAATATCCCAAATTGTATCAATATACAAAATGTCTTGAACACAAGAAAAGTATACATACATAGAATATGGTAAAAAATAATGTGCATAAATATTATAAGTGGAAACATTTAACACAATATAACAAAATATAAACTTAATTTTACATAGCTTACCACATAGGAATGCATAACAATGTAAGCTGTAAAATATTATCTCATTCAAACTCAAATTCTCAAGGAAATAGGCTAATCTACTTATATCCCATCTAAACCATACCTTTACCCACCATTCCCTATTCCTGTCTAAAAGATAAACCCGAGTGTAAGCATCACCCAATCCCAATGGGCGTGGTCAGTGCTACAGAAGGACTACCTCACTACAGAAATCAGTTACATTAAACATATTTATTCTTAGAGTCTGGTGTCTAGAGAATGAAGCCATACAATATTTTGCGGTTTTCCAAGTTTTAAAAAGCTTTCCTCCCAAAGAAGAAATAATACACCTGTTGTCACAGAAGACAGTAACTATGTTCCATAAAGAAGTATGCTATTTATTTTTTTGTAACTAATTTTTAACAGATTGGCCTTAGGGTTCACTTCCAATAAAACAACTTATACTATAAACAGGGAGCAAATGTGTTTTCTATAGTCAATAATCTGAGTTGTTGCATTACACCTGTCTCCCATTCATGCTCCCACCAAGCACATTAGAATCACCCAAGTCATAGATATAATTGTCAGAGATTGTTTCTCTACTGGCCACTGTGATTTGGTTATTCCTGAAAGCTGAAGTAGGCAGAACAAGGGTTCCAGGCCCTTATTGCTACTATGAAAGTTTATATTCGATCCATCCATAAGGAATTACAAAACATGTGGGGTCCCATCACAACTCTATACTTTAACCTTTGTTTATTCTCAGATGTTATACTTAGGACATAAGTTATCCAAGTCTTGGGTGGTCGTGATAAAGATTCCTCTTATTTTTAAGATACCGTATCACAAACCATTGTCCATAATCTAGTACAAATCAATGTCAGCTATTATATTTTTGTTGCCCATGAATGTTTCTGGTTTCTTGAAGAAGGAGAAGTGGTGAACAGAAGGAAATAAAGTTACACAGACAGGGAAAGGTGATGGGTAAAGAAGTGACCAGGGACACCGTGGTCATTCAAGGCACAAAGCTAGGATTGCTGGGAAGTGCTCTTCTCAAAGACAGCATGGGGGAGTGAAACTGTTTAGCTGGAACAGTTCACACAGACATCCAAAGGAAGCCTCATCATGAAACACAACTTCCATCAAATGAAGGAAGCTCCCAACTCTCACTCTTAGAGCTCAAGGCCCTGGGAGGGGCAAAGCACCCAATCCTGGCTCCCAGCCCTCTTTGACTCTTTTGTGTTCTCTTCAGAACTAATGTCTTTATAACTTCTGGCTAGGTTTTATTCACTGCTGGAATTTCCTTATGGCTATGGTACTGTCTTGTCACAGGGATGATACTATACAATGAGAGAAAGAGAAGGCAGGGAAGAGTTTTCCAAATGTGCGTGTGTGTGTGTGTGTGTGTGTGTGTGTGTGTGTGTGTGTGTGTGTGTGCGTGTGCGCGCGCGCCTGTGTGCTGGCGAAGTTACCAACTCTATCTTTTAATTGTCATCCGCTGGCATTTTTTTCCTGAGTAAGAAATAATAGTTAACTTATTTTTCACAATCCATCTTAAAATTATTTATTTGCTATACTTTTCTTGCTATAAATGTAAAGTTTCTAACATGTCCCAAAATGTTGAGATATTACAAAGCTCATTGAAATGTTATTATCTACTGATAATTATTAGTTATATATGTAATCACTAGAATTTTATGGGAAATATTATAATGTTGATTATAAGTTAAGTCCTTTTCATATTCTATGGGCATTTCTATCCATTTAAGTACCTATTTTACACTCTATGCAAGTTTAATAAAGTAAACAGAATGTTAACATATCTCCTCAAAGAAAGGCACCAATGCAAACAAGTAATGTTGCTGGAGAATGTTCTTTTAATTAAAAAGAAAAAAGTTAATCACCAGAGAATACAAACTACTTAAAAAAAATAAGAGAACGCTGAAGGAAAAATCTAGCCCAAAAAAACCTCTATTGAATACTATGCTACTTACAAGCAATTTAGCATATTAAAAACGCTATTTGCACAGCTTAGAGGGAATATTTAAATAATGCAATCTAGAATGATAAACCAACACAGTAAAATACCAGAGAGGAAGAAGATTATGAAAGTCCATAAATATCTACTGCAGATATACTCCACATGTCACTTGACTTACACAATTTACAAGTTATGCACGTCTAAATTTTCTCAATAAAATCCAACTCTATTTTAAAAATACTATGACTTCCACGTACCTCATGTATGGAGTTATTTTTTTCCAAGATGGAAAGAGCAGCAGCAGCACATTCTAAGGTAGAGAGGCACCTGCTAGTTGGTTGCATCCGAATTACATATTGACTACAAATGTTAGTTTTTAACTGTACCTGAAACCAAAAGCAAAGTAATAAAATGTAATTTTCACCTTACATTTAAAATTATGAAACAAACACTTTAAATACTACTTACCTTTCTCCTAAAACTTCAAGTTTAAAAATATTATGTGCATCAATATCTTTGCACATATCCTTTAGTTGTTATTATTGGATAGCAGAAACAAAAGTCAGGCTACAAAAAGAAATCTGACAAAGAAATGATACCCAGAATACATTCATATTTCTATATACCCCAAATGACACCAGGAACACTCTCCAATGAGGACAAGAATGAATATACACTTCACAAAAGAAGACGTAAGTATAGCAAACAGGTACTTGGCAAAATGCTCAAATGACCTAATTGATTAGTTTAAAAAACAAATAAACAAAAAAAAAAAATAACATGAGGCTAGGGATACAGTTCAGTGGTAGGACCCTTGCTAGGCATGCAGGAAGCTCCCAACTTAGTCCTGAGTATTGCCTTCCTTTTATCTTACCCCCCCCCCCAAACACTAACACCATTATATCCAAATATAAAGACCTAGAGCCAAAGAGTATGAGACCTCGGAACACTAGCCCTAAATGGGATGTCTCCTCTGAATCCTTCCTCTAAGAGCTCAGGGAAACCTATGGAAGAGGAGGCAGAAAGAGTGTTAAGGGCCAGAGGGAATGGAGAACACCATGGAAACAATATGAACTTAAAGACTGAGGCAGCATGCACAGGGCCTGCATGAGTCTGCAGTTAGAGTCCTAGGGCTCAAAGAATTGGACATATGCTCCCACAATGATAACCGTCTCATGACATAGACCTTCAATCCAACGAGATACTAATTATGCCCATAAGCTTTATGCCCCCATTGTACCAATATATCTTGCAGGCTGGCCATTCTTGTAGGTGACAGGTTTTGTAGCTAGGTTGGTGTTTATCTTTCTCCATTGGTAGTGTGCGGAGTACCTCTCAGTATGATGAGCTGTAGGGGTGAAGGCTCTAGGTAGGAACCAGCTTGACTTCCCCATGTCCAATGAATTATGTAGGTGTTGTCTTCAGCAATAGGGCCCTATCATCAGTTTTTAGAGAGCAACCAATTGCCTTGGCAATATACAAGGTTGTTTGGGGCCCCTTTGGTCAACTACTCAACTACTTATAACTCATTCCTGGTACTGGGAGCTTCATTTGGTGATGAGAGCTGCCCAGTTGGCATTCTATCTGCACTGCTATTTGGCCATTTTGTTTGGATCACCTTAATACATGTGTCTATTTTTCAAGAAGCATCTACTATATTCGGTTTTCATACAATCTCCCTGATGGCCCTTAGTTTTAGCTGTCTCCCATTGTATTCCTTCCTTCACCCACCTCTTAGCTCTCCTTTCCTATTTGATTCTCTGATTATAGGGCCTCCCCCCAAATCCACCCATAATTAACTATTCTATTTTCTCTTTGTAGGTATATCCATCCCTCCCTGCTAATCCCTTAGTCTATGCCTAACCTCTGTGGGTCGATGGATTATAGCTTGCTTTTCAAAGACTTAAGAGCTAATATCTACATATAAGTGAATACATACCACATTTGTGTTTCTGAGTCTGAATTACCTCATTCAGGATGAGTTTTTCTAGCTCCATCAATTTTGTCTGTGAATTTCATGTTTTCATTTTAACAGCTGAGTAATATTCCATTGTGTACATAAACATTTCCTCTACCCATTCATCCACTGGCAGACATCTAGGCTATTTCCAATTTCTGGCTAATATGAATAGAGCATAAATGAATATGGTTGAGCGAGTTAAGGATATCTTTTGGGTATATGACCAAAAGTGGTATAGCTAGATCTTGGGGTAGATCAATTCCTAGCTTCTTGAAGAAGCTCCACACTGATTCCACAGTGGTTATACACATTTGTATTCCCCCCAACAATGAGTGAGTGCTCCCTGTACTCTTCCTTCTCCCCAGCATGTGCTGTCTTTTTAAATTGCTCTTGGACACTATGATAGATGTTAAGATAAAAATCTCAAAGTAGTTTTGATTTGCATTTCCCTGATGACTGAGGATGTTGAACATTTCTCTAAATATTTTGGGGGCCATTTGTATTTCCTGTTTTGAGAATTCTGTTAGAACTGCACCCCATTTTTTAATTGTGCTGTTTGTTTCCTTGATGTCCAGGTTATTGAGTTCTCTATAAATTTTGGGTATTAGCCCTCTGTAAGATGTGTAGTTGGAAATTATCTTTTCCCGTTCTGTAGCCTGCTGCTTTGTCTGAATCATCAATTGTGTCTTTTGCTGTACAGAAGCTTCTCAGTTTCATAATTCCATTTATTAATTGTTGCTCTTAGTGAATGTGCCATCAGTGTTCTGTTCAGAAAGTCTGTTTCATATATTATTAAAGAACCAAAAGCTAAATTTTTTCTAGCAATACAAACATTTTTAATTTTGTTTTCTGGACAATCAATCTAAAAGTCCATGTCAATTGCTTATGTGATATAATACATAAAGCTTATGTAATATAATACCTTAAAGCACAGGGGAAAAAGTTATACTACAGTGAACTTAAATTTCTGTTGAATTTAAACATGTATGTAAAATAGGAAATGACCAAGTATTTACTATACAAGAGGAACTAGAAAGATAAAAAAGATACAAGAACATATCAACTTGAGGAATAATTCTAAGAACTAGGAAACAGATCGAGTCAAGTGTACTTTTAAACACAGATTTTATTAACCAACTTATTACTAAGGTGACTGAGAAATTACTAGGGCTCATTATTTACTTGATATTATTTTCTGCTTACTTGATATTATTTTCTGCTCTTTAGGGTGACAACAGCTTAAGCTAGTATCCTCAAGTTTAAACACACCTGAAATCCAAAATCCAAAACTTACTAGATTTTTGTTTTTGTTTTGTTTTTTTGAGACAGGGTTTCTCTATATTGTTTTGGAGCCTGTCCTGGAACATGCTCTGTAGACCAGGCTGGCCTTGAACTCACAGAGATACGCCTGCCTCTGCCTCTCCTCTGCCTCTCTGCCTCTCTGCCTCTCTGCCTCTCTGCCTCTCTGCCCCTCTGCCCCTCTGCCCCTCTGCCCCTGCCTCTGCCCCTGCCCCTGCCCCTGCCCCTGCCCCTGCCCCTGCCCCTGCCCCTGCCCCTGCCTCTGCCTCTGCCTCTGCCTCCTGAGTGCCAGGATTAAAGGCGTGTGCCACCAATGCCTGGCTAGAAAATATTTTTTAATCTAGCCCTTTCACCCAAACTAAGTGAAATTATCAAAATAGATAATCATGTAACTAAACAAATTCCTTTTACACTCAAACTGTAGTTTAAAAAGACCACAGAGAATACTGGTGGCAAAGAAGAAGCATATACTCTTCTAAAAAACAAAGACAAAGATGGTTTTCATACCTAGTTTTCCATTTTCAGCAGATGTGTTATTGAAAAATTGAACAATGCTGTGTGGTTATAAGACTCACTTATAAAAATTTCCCTATTACTGGGCAGTGGTGGTGCACACCTTTAATCCCAGAACTTGAGATACAGAGGCAGGTGGATCTCTGTGAATTTGAGGCCAACCTGGTCTATAGAGTGAGTTCTAGGACAGCCAAGGACACCATGAAACCCTTTAAAATAATAATAATAATAATAATAATAATAATAAACAATAAGATAAAAAATTTAAATGTCCCTATTAGTTGCTAGGTTCCAAAAATGTGTTGTTTCCTTTGCTAATCTCACCAACACAGAGTAGTCCTCTTTTGGGGTATCAAGTAGGTTCCTTTTTACTCTTGTAAATTTTTATTCTACATATATAGTGTCATTCAGTGACAACTGGCTACTACATTGCTAATGAAAATGTAATACTTTTCTTCTATTTCTTGAAATAACAATATAATCACTTTCCTCTTCTATTTCCTCCCTCCAAACCCTCCAATGTGTGTTTTAGCTTCCTCGCTCTCCTTCAAATTCATGGCCTCTATTTCTTTTGTTATTTCCGTGTGTGTGTGTGTGTGTGTGTGTGTGTGTGTGTGTGTGTTCCTAAATATATAAATAAAACATGCTCAGTTCATATAAAGTCACACACACACACGTTTTTCAGGGTGAGACCATTTGGTATTAGATAACCAACTGGTGTGCTCTTCCCTGAGGAAAACTTTTCTCTCCCAGTCTCCCACTCTCAGCCTTCCTTAGTTGCCTATAGTTCTTTGTGTAGGTTTGAGGCCTTATGATACTGCCTCCCCCACATACACCCCCAGCCCACTTTGGGATGTCCATTGATGTCATCCTTTTCCTACTCCTCTGGCTCCTATTATCTTTCCACTCCCATTTTTGCCATAACCCCTGAGTTTTAGGTATAGGAATTACATTACAGACATATCAGTTGAGACTGGGCTCCACAACTCTGCATTTTGATGGGTTGTAGTTTTCTATAATGATCTCCATCTGTTACAAAGAGAAGTTTCCTTAATGAAGGGTGAAAACTACACTCGTCTGTCAAAGACAAATATTAAGTATGTAGAAAGGAACTGTGCTTGTTTAGTAAGTTATGGTTGTAGGTTCTCCTCAAGATCCATGATTTCCCTACAGTGCTAATGGAAATTTAAATATATTCCCTTCAATCCTCAAACTATTCATTGCAAACGCTTAACACACACCTGTTCTTGACTATCTAGAATTTCTGAAATACATTTGGGTCTGAAATCTGAACTTAAGAACAAACATTACTTCACTGCCTTGAATCTAGGCTAGAAATACTGACCACTTTAAAAGAGATGCTACAACACTGATGAGACATAAAGGGTTTAATTTTATCTCGTAGATTCAGACTAAGCCTTTAGAAAATGGAAATGGTAAATTTTTAATTTTTTTCATAAATTATAGAATATGACCTATCTGCTTTTGGTTCAATAAATCTGAAGAGCAAGCGTTGCTTTTAAGTTGATTTGGGACATACATATTACCTTTAATAACCTCAGAGCATACTAAAAAGTAGTTAAGAACCAGTAAAAAGTACATAAAATGGTATGA